AGATAAGACATGTGACCTTGGGTATTTCAAAATACCGTCTGATCTCCGACAAGCAAATGGCATGCAGCTTGTCGACTTCAAACCGCTCTGCAAGCGTGCACAGGCCAACAATATTCTTGACGTCCACTTGCGCTGAGCAGCCGTACAAATACTTCAGAAATGCGCCAAGCACTGTGCCGTTCGCTTCTAGAAGCTGCACCTGTCGGTTCCCTTCTTGGCCTTCTGCTTCACCAAACCGAACACGGACACCAAACCAAACCAAGGTTCAAAGTTCGAACCCAACCCGAATACGGACACCAAACCAAACCAAGGTTCAAAGTTCGAACCCAACCCGAACACAGACACCAAACCAAATCAAAGCTCAAAAGTTCGAACCCTAAACCCTAAACTCCAAACCAAATCGAAGCTCAAAAGTTCGAACCCAACCCAAACACCAAACCAAATCAAAGCTCAAAATTTCAAACCCACCCCCCACAGACCTTCTAGAAGTTGCACCTGTCAGTCCCTTTCTTGGTCTTCTGCTTCCCCAAACCAAACACAAAACCAAACCAAGGTTCAAAGTTCGAACCCAACCCGAACACGAAACCCCGAACCTAAACCAAACACCAAACCAAATGAAGGTTCAAGGTTCAAACCCAACCTACAGACCAACTTGCAGTTCATTTGCACCAGTCGGTCCCCTTTTTGCCCCCTTCTTCTTCACCAAACCAGTTTGACGTTCGAACCCAACCCAAACACGAAACCAAATCCAAACCAAGACACCAGACCAAATCAAAGTTCCAAGGCTCACACTTCAAACCCAACGCACAGACCACCTTGAAGTTGCACACCCACCTGGTCTTTTCTTTGCCTTCTGCTTCCAGACCAAATACCAAACCAAACCAAGGTTCTACCAAACCAAACCAAGGTTCAAAGTTTGAAGTTCGAACCCAACCCGAACACCAAACCAAACCCAAAACCAAACACCAAACCAAACCAAAGTTCAAAGATAAAACCCTAAAGGGCCTAAACCCACACACCACCTTGAAGCTGCACCTGTCCATTCCCTTCTTGGCCTTCTGCCTCACCAAGCCGAACAGCAAACCAAATCACCCAACCCAAACATGAAACCAAATCCAAACCCTAAACACCAAACCAAACCAAAGTTTGTTTCAAACCCTTAACCCACAGACCACCTTGAAGTTGCATCTGCCCGTTCCCTTCTCGGCCTTCTGCTTCACCAAACCGAACACCAAACCAAACCAAGGTACAAAGTAAAAAAAAAAAAAAAAAACTGAACCCAACCGGACCGAAAACCAAACACAAACGGAAACGAACTGGACCACACCAAACCCTAAACCCTAAGCCCAAAATCAAAACCAAAACCAAACCAAACCAAACAATGAGAAAATGAAGCAAGAGCCGCACCAACCCAAACACCAAGCCAACCCAAGCTAAAAACAAAAGCAAAACCCTAAAACCAAACTAAACAGAAAACGAAACGAGAAGGCAAACTCGCTACGTTGAGAACTTCAACTGAACCAAACCAAACCAAACCAAATCAAACTAAAATCAACCAAGTCCTTGGTCCCGTTCTTGGTCCCAGGTCCAGACCGAACATGAAACAAACTCGAACCCAAGCAACATGAAGCCAAAAATAAAAAATAAAAAAAATACAGATCGACAAAAACCAACGCAAACCAACCCAAACCAAGTCAAACACTAAACCCAAACCAAGTCAAAGCCAACCAAACCGAACCAAACCAGACCAAACTGACCAGAACCGAACCATGTCAAACCCTAAACCCTACACCAAAAGGACCCAAACCAAAAGGACCCTAAACCAAAAGGACCCAAACCAAACACAACCAAAACCAACCAAACTGACCCAAACCGAACCAAAGTGAATCAAACTGAAGCAACCAACAGCAAACCAAACTTGCAACCACACCCATGGTCCCAGGTCCTTGGTCCCACTTCCTTGGTCCCAGGTCCTTGGTCCCACTTCCTTGGTCCCAGGTGCTTGGTCCCAACCCAAGCCCTTCGGTTCCAGAAATCTTGCCACGACTTCCTTGGTCCAAAGGCCCATTGCATCCCCGGGGTCTTCTTACTTGCCCTTTGATCCCAGGGTCCTTATTACTTACTTACCCTTTGGTCCCGAGGTCCTTGGTGCCCGCACCCTTTGGTCCCAGGGTCCTCGTTAATGACCCCGTGGTCCCACGGTCCTTTGTGCTGCACCCTACTTTCCAGCACCCTTGGTCCCCGCCGTTCTGTTCAAGGCCCCTACGATTATATAGGGGTTCATTAACAAGGACCCTGGGAACAAAGGTGTCAGCACGAAAACTTTTACATGGGGAATCATTGCCAAACAGAAGAGGAGGAGGAGGAGGAGGAGGAGGTACCTTGCAAGCTGCATAAGGAAAGGATGGCGTGTAGGGGAAAACTTGGCGGAATGGGGAAAAAGGGGGTCTATTTGGGTGAAGTGGGAGGAGGAGAAGTACTTGGGGAGCGTGGAACAAGAGGGGGGGGGTGGCGAAGAGGGGGGGGAGGAAGGGGGGGAGGAAGAAGGGGGAGAGAAAAAAAGAAAGGGAATGAATGTGGTCAAAGGCGTAGTAATTGTACCTTTCTCAAATAGTGCACAGAAGGGCCTACTTTGCTGTGCCAGCACAATTCGATGCCCATAGAAACGCTCTCCCGTCGAGGCGATTACTTCTACGTCACTCATTGCCTGCTTGTTGAAGAAGCGCGAGCAATTGGACATCCCAGCATCAATCACGGGCAACTCGATCATGCAATTCTCATCGACACTTGCGCCCAGCGAACTCTGCGATGTGTTCATTCAAAGAAGACCGGTCTAGTATAATTAGAATCCCAAGTGTTTTAATCTCACAAAATCAGTAAAACTTTGTGATTCCCCTACTATATCCATGCTATAGTCCTCCCATAGCCATGCTATAGCCATGCTAGAACCATGCTAGAACCATGCTATAGCCATGCTATGCTATACCCAGGTTCCTGGATCCTAGACCATGGATTGTACCTCCCAACTCGTTTCTTTTTCTTCTTCACATGCAGGCCTCCAAAGTACAAAGAAACATTTCCCAAATCAAAGCTGCTCTCTCTCTCCCTCTCTCTCTCTCTCTCTCTCTCTCTCTCTCTCTCTCTCTCTCTCTCTCTCTCTCTCTCT